GTTCTAGTTGTTCGTCCCCCTCTGGACTTTATTCCTGTTCCAGAACCTGAGTGTTGCGTGCACATCCATTTTACAGATCTTACTTATTTGTATGCAGATTGTCGGTTCCTTGACTTTCAAGCAGATGCACTACGACATTGACGTAATCCCCTAATTAGTCGACTTTTACGACTTGCTTACTGAGGAGGCAGTGGGTCTATTCTTGTTTTCCCTCATAATGGGGGCCCTGGAACCCCCACATGGGGCTTTGTGCATATCTTCTTCTTCTTTGCATTCACCAGCTGTAAAACTCTGGTGGAAAGTTCTTGTTGTCCCTCCACTTCTGGACTGCAGTCCTGTTCCAGAATCTGAGTGTTGCGTATGCATCCGTTTGACAGATCTGACACATTTGTGTGCAGACTATTGGTTCCTTGCCTCTCAGGCAGATGCACACCGACTGCGAAGAAAGCTCCAAATTAGTCGATTCTTACGACAAGCTTTTGGGTAGGCAGTGGGTCTGTTCTTGTTTTCCCTATAATAGGGCCCTGGAACCCACACAGGGAGCTTTGTGCATATGATGTTAGGCCCATATTTTTATAGACTATCAGCACTTGATGGGTGAGGTGATCAACATCACAATGCCTCCTTTACTTCCCAGGACACTTTCTAGCATCTATGTCAGCTTGATCGACATAAGAGCCAAGGTCAGTTCTGAAAAAAAAAAAATCCTGCTGTATGCAGATTCAAACCCAAGACTTTTGCCCCAGCAGGAAAGCCTCAAGCTCCTATGACTGCAGCTCCCCAGATGTGAAGAGGTATGACTGCCAACCTGAGATAGCATATTTCACTGTTATCCAGGTCCTCATGTATCAAGTGCAAACTGGACACTACAAATCTCATTTTTATCTGTATCATAAGCTTAGATCTCTAGTTGTGGCAATAATTTACTCAGATCTCTAGTTGTGGCAATAATTTACTCAGATCTCTAGTTGTGGCAATAATTTACTCAGATCTCTAGTTGTGGCAATAATTTACTCAGATCTCTAGTTGTGGCAATAATTTACTCAGATCTCTAGTTGTGGCAATAATTTACTCAGATCTCTGGTTGTGGCAATAACTTATTCAGATCTCTGGTTGTGGCAATAATTTACTCAGATCTCTGGTTGTGGCCATTATTTACTCAGATCTCTAGTTGTGGCAATAACTTACTCAGATCTCTGGTTGTGGCAATAACTTACTCAGATCTCTAGTTGTGGCAATAATTTACTCAGATCTCTAGTTGTGGCAATAATTTACTCAGATCTCTGGTTGTGGCAATAACTTACTCAGATCTCTGGTTGTGGCAATAACTTACTCAGATCTCTAGTTGTGGTAATAATTTACTCAGATCTCTGGCTGTGGCCATTATTTACTCAGATCTCTAGTTGTGGCAATAACTTACTCAGATCTCTGGTTGTGGCAATAACTTACTCAGATCTCTAGTTGTGGCAATAACTTACTCAGATCTCTGGTTGTGGCAATAATTTACTCAGATCTCTAGTTGTGGCCATAATTTACTCAGATCTCTGGTTGTGGCAATAACTTACTCAGATCTCTAGTTGTGGCAATAATTTACTCAGATCTCTAGTTGTGGCAATAATTTACTCAGATCTCTAGTTGTGGCAATAATTTACTCAGATCTCTAGTTGTGGCAATAACTTACTCAGATCTCTAGTTGTGGCAATAACTTACTCAGATCTCTAGTTGTGGCAATAATTTACTCAGATCTCTAGTTGTGGCAATAATTTACTCAGATCTCTAGTTGTGGCAATAACTTACTCAGATCTCTAGTTGTGGCAATAACTTACTCAGATCTCTGGTTGTGGCAATAACTTACTCAGCACACATTTTCTGCGTTAGTCTTTTTCTTCTTTGTTTTTCTTGTTCACTAGATGTAGACTCCAGTGGAAATTTCTGGGTGTTCTTCCACTCCTGTAATTTGGTCTTGATCCAGAACTTGAGTTTTGCATGCATATCCATTTTACAAATTCTGATATTTGTATGCAGACTGTTGGTTCCTTGCCTCTCAGGCAGACACACTTCAACTTTGAAGGAAAACTCATAATTAGTTGTCTCCTATGACATGCTTGTAATGCAAGAAGGGGAGCATCGAGTATATTCTTTGTTCTCCAAAATGCAACCTTGAACACACGGGGACAGATGGTAGCTTTATACTGTGCCATAAGGAGGCATAGGTATAATGACTATTGGAAATGAGCAGTTAAGGTTAGGGATAAAGTTCCACTCCATAGCACAAAGTCTGGGCCGCACTGTACAGATCATATGGTGCCCATGCAGCAAGATCCCCCACTCAGCTTGCCTTGTTTACTCCAAAGGAAAAGTAATACTATATGCTTGGAACGAAGCAAGCTGCAGAAGCTGGTGAAATAGAATAGAAGTGCTCACTCTGTCCAACAATGAGAGTTTCCCTCCTAAACAACCAGCCAACAAAGGCTAAGGGCCTGGTCTGCCATAACATCAAGTTTTCAGATAAAATGAACAAACAGACAATGTACTGATTAGCACTCGCAGAAAGAAGTAGAAAGACTGAAGGTGACAAGTTTGAATTCTGGCACAGTAACAACAGCTTTTGATTTTATGTTTTCTAGTGTGTCCTTCTGTCTCTGAGTGCCAAGCAATACACTGTTTGTTTATTTTATATATATATATATATATATATATATATATATATATATATATATATATATATATATATATATATATATATATATATATATATATATATATATATATATATATATATATATACTGTCTTAAGGGTTCCACCTCTGTTTATTTAGGTTTTGAGATGCATATCCTCTTCCAAGGATAAGATTAATAGGCCCCCCCCCCAATGTGCTAGAACCACATCTGGGACAGACAGACCCACATATTTAAATATCATCTACATGATAGTTCCTCAGACCCTGGTGTGTTATAAGTTGGGTTATCATTACATCACTCTAGACCCACCCACAGATACTCAGATCTGGCTTTATTTGTATGAAGACTTAATTCCTCAAATCTCTGGCAGAGGAACTCTGACTTCAAAGAAAACACCACTAACTAGTCGCCTTTATAAAATGCCTGTTGAGGGCATGATCTTTATGTTTACACACACACAAAAACTGTAGGCCATCTAACCCACATGGGGAGTATAGAATCTCAAAAGAGGATTAGCAGTGGATTAATCATCTTTTCAGCTGTGACAACAAGTGGTATAAAGTAAATATTGAGCAAAAAAGAAGAGAGGTTCTGAATACATGACAACTGGGTTGGTAGGCCAGCTTTCTGGATAATGAACCACTACTCCCTCCCTTTAAGGGGGGGGGGGGGGGGGTGCACCATAACCAAGTGGTTTTGGACCAACTGATTTACTGCATCAAATATGAAAGTTTCAAAGAAATAACCAAACATTTCAAATAAAAAAAATAAAAAAAAGTCTCACGCATCCACGCAGAAAATTGTGAATGAAAGCCAGAGGCTGTCTAGGATAGCTTTATTTTTATACACTCAAGAATTGTTTATGCATTTCATTGGTACTACTGTGAAGGTAACATGGATAAGATTATGCCAAGTGACACAGTTCTTCTTCTGTTGCATTTATTCTTTAAAAAAAGCCGAAGGTATGCTGTGTTGTAGTTTACAGCTAGGCTGCAATATCTGCACCTTTCAAATCAACACATCTGAATCACCAAAACCCCTAATTAATCACCTCAGGAAGGTGGCGGGGGCGGGGGGGGGGGGGCTATCCCATTCCACCCCCCCCCCCCCCCCCCCCCCGCCCCCTCATTATAAATGGCTACATTTTGTCTAGCAAAAAACATGTATTATACCTGTCTTTAACCGAAAATCTGCATAGAACTTCCACAAACCTTGCAGAAATGAACAGATTGTGCTCTTGCCTTACACATTAATCAAGAAAACTCCTTTGTTATGTACACAGATAAAGAAAACAAAAAAAAAAACAGGAAAGGCCTTTTTCAAACCAGTGGTTCATCAGGAATCTGATGCCAGACTTTTTTTTTTAAATATTGCAATACCAACTGGCACTTGATGAATGATGTGGTTAATATCACTTTGGCCACCTTACCTCCCAGAGCATTTCATTATACCCATTTTTGGCTAGATTGACCCAACAGCCAAAGTTAATTATAAAAAAATCTGACTGTTTTAAATAGATTTAAACCAAAGACCTTCAGGCCAGCAAGCAAGCCTGCATCTAAAGTATTCCCTGTACAATTAGGATTCATGACAAGTTTAAAAAAAAACACGGAGCAGAGTTTAAATTGGAAAGAAAGAGACCCATGACTTCAAAAAAATTATGACAATAATAACAGTAATAATGCATATTTGCACCAGAAATTTGTAAAACAATTAAGCAGTGGTCGCATGAAAAGGTTGCGACCTTTCACTGCGGAGATATATCACATGTAAATGTTGCATTCAGACTACAAAATCATCAGCTTCCACAAAGTCTTTCATTTCTTTAACCTGTTAAGTGGGTAATTAGGATTCTCCATAGCGGGTTAAATGTTTTGTTTTTCAAAAGACTGCCCGAGTCCCAAGGCTTTTGTTACAAAATGAATATATTTAAGTGAATGACAACTGCTCTTTTCATTCATTCTTTTCCCTGAAACTCTTTTATGAAATCCATTACTTTCTGACTTGCATTAGTTTTCTGATATGCATTACTTTCTGATAAGCAAACAGTGCAAGTCGCAAGCATGTAGCTTGTTGTATCCAATCCATACCAGTCATATAAAGCCCTGGGTGGACAAACCCGTCACACCCACTTAACGGGTTTATGAAGTTACAATTTGCATTCATTGTTTAAAAAAAAAAAAGCTCAAAAGCTGGAAGATACAAAATAAAACAGAGGCAACAAACCAGACAGAAGTAAATAATATTAAAAGCAAAAATTATGTTATTTGAGGATATTAGGGATTTGAAAATAACAAATTATAATCACAAACCCTACGTTAGCTTTTAGCACCAGGGTGCTTGTGGGAGTTCATGCCATAGCTGGAGGACGTGGAGGCGCCGCTGTAACCTGCGACGTCTGCACCAGCATAAGCAGACGAGGAGGCGGCAGAGGTGGAAGGGTAGTGGGAGGAGGAAGATGAAGGACAGGTGGCTTTCTTCTTGAGGGAATCCAGGTACTCCTGCTGTGACTGAGCTATGACTTGTGCTAGGACATCTTCTTCACTCCAGTCGGACAGACCTGTGATGTAAGCAGGTGAAGTCTTTATGGTGTTGGGTGTTGAAATACAAGACATACTGTTGGCATTATGCTAGTCATTTAAATGTAATTTTGGAGATTTTTACCTAAGTATATTTTCAGTGCAGTTATTTGTTGCTTTACAACAGGCCAAAGGCACACATGGAAGTTTCCACTCCAATGAGGTCAACACAACTTTTTTTAAATTTTTTTATTTATTTAACTTCAGAGTGAAGCCTTCCCAAGGCTTTAATAAAGTGTACATTTTTTTGAAACAATGAGTTAGCGTTTAAGTGACTTTAGGATAGCCCCAATGAATTATATACAGAGGTATGTGGCCTGAACTGTTAATATGTATTTTAAAAAACTGGCAAGATAAAAAAAAAATGAAGAAGAATAAGAAGAATAGCAACAACAACAAATGAACAAACTGTATTCCCAAAGAGTCACAAATTGTTCATGCAGGCTGGCCTTACATTCAGCTCTTGCAAACATCCATCTTAAACACAAAAATTGTTACCTATAAAGCATGTTTGGTTCACAGCAATATACACACACATACACACATACATACATACATACATACAACACATATGACTATAAAGTAAAAACACAAAAGCTTGCTTAAGAAATGCTTATACTTAATTATGCACACAAACTTACATCCATCCATTCATTCTACCAAAAAAAAAAAAAAAAACGGAGGTGGGGAGGAGCAAATGAAGATGGAACAGAAAGATCAAGGGGAAAAATGCAATGACCCCATTGCTAAAGAAGAAGCAGAAACTAGAGGAGATACAGAAGAAGTCAAGGAGAAGTTTAACTTACCATACATAGCCGGTGGCAGGTAATCCACATACGAGGCAGTTTCACTGAGCCCTGAGCAAGCACCATCTACGCTGGCATTGGATGTACCACCAGCTAAACTCTGTGGAGGGCTATGCCGTGGTGATTTTGATGAACCTTCAATAAAAAATAAAAAAAATAAACTTTAAAAAAAAGACCATCACTTTCTGCTACCATAAAACGTTTGCATGAGGGCAGAAGAGGACAGGTCACTGGTCAGGAAAAATCAAAAGTTTTGGACAAGTTATACTTACCGTCAAATGTTTAGATGCGGGTAGAATGGAATCACAGATTAAGTAGATAAAATCAAGAGTTTTGGACCAAGTTATTTCCACCATAAAATGTTTAGATGAGTGTAGCTGAGAACTGGAGACTGATTAGTCTTACTCAAGGTTTTAACTTCCATTGAAATAAAGTTTCCCCAAACTTACCCCCTTCCTGTGCCAGTGAAAATCAATTGAAATATCCCTTACTGCCTCATTTGAAAAACTGGTGAAGAAACAATTCATTTGTGGAACAATCCAGAAATATGCGCACACCGAAAATGCACATGGCAGTTGCTAGAGCCGCCAGAGCCAACAGTCGCCACCAGAAATGCAGTTTGTCACTGATGGAAGTAGTCGGGCACAATAAAGATATTTCACCAGCTTACAAGTAAATTGGCTCCTGGCCAACACAACACAACCGGTGCACAAATGAAAGGACACCACAACACAACCGCTGCACAAATGAAAGGACACCACAACACAACCGCTGCACAAATGAAAGGCATTCTACATGAAAAAAAAAAAAAAAAGCTCACAGGGCTGCACCAAACACTAAACTCAGTGGCTCAGGCAACGATAATGCAGACTACCATCCACATGTGGAAACTGCACTAGCAAAGCGCTATCAGAAGCAAAAATAACTTCAAAGCTTAACATTCTACCATGCCTAATTCTCCATTTTAGACTGGAAGACTGATTAGAGAAAATCAAGATTGTTTTAACAGGTCAAATCTACCATAAACATTTGGATTGGCAGACTGAGGGTTAAATAAGGTTAGTAAAGATTAAAAAAAAAATTATTTAATATTTTATGAGAAGAAATGACACCCTTCCATCTGAGCACCCCTGTTACTATTTTTAGGGCCCTATTGCGGGGCAAAATAATGTAAACAATTAAAAGACCCAACAGGCATGTTGTTGGAGCTAAATGGCTAATTAGGGGTGTTGTTTTTTTGAAGTCAAGAGTGCACATGAGAGGCAAGGTATCAACAGTCTGTTTTACAATAAAAGTCAGATCTGTAAAATGGATGTTCATGCAAAACCAAGCTCCAGAAGTGCATGAACAGCCCACACTTTCTGCCAAAGTTTACAGCTGGTCAAAGTGAAGAAGAAGAAGAAGATTTAAAATGTATTTGTTCATTTTCTTGAATGAAGAGCTCAGCACTTCATGTCCGTCTTTTTCTCCTTCACGTTAATTAGGGTAACTGCCATGTTGTGTTGCAGTTTGCAGCTAGGCTGTGTTATCTGTAAGTATCAGCCCAACACATCCTATTTTAGCCAATTCTCAACTCTTTCAGAACAGCATTTTTTCTGGGGTTTAGACAGAATTCATTTTGAGCTGAAGTTTTGCTTACATGACAAAACTGAAACGTTCCTGAAGAAAAAGCTGTATAGCGTTATATAATATATCAAATTAAAAAGAAATGAAAGCAGAATCTATCTTTACTATTTATGGCTCAGTGCTGTGAAAAAAATATTAAAATGACACACGGTTCAAGGATATTAGATGACCATGATGATTTTTGATGCATGAAGTGTTGTCACAACTGTCATTAACTGCCTTTATTTGAACCACTTTTGTGGTGTAAGCAGGGGGGTCTTTGAGTCTGAGGATTTACTGCTGCATGGCTGGTGCTGTCGCCACGGACTGTGCAGGTGAGGATTTTATTTTGCCCCCGAAAGAAAAAATCCAGAGCCTTACCGAGAATTCGAACCTGGATCTCCACATTAAGAGCCCAGCATTCTAACCGTTTGGCCAGCTGCTCCTCAAAGTGTTGTACTTATCTTAATTTTTCACTTTATCAGCAACACTGCCTTCCACTTCTAAGAATTAAGATTACTTCTTCTTTATTCACTTATGCGGCGTCCGTGGCTTAGGCGTTGCGAGACCGACTCGTAATTACAACGTACCACGATCGAAACCCACTGCTGGCTGCATGGATTTTTATCACTGTATGGGGCGTCTCGGGTCGACCCAGCCTAAAGTGGGTACCAGGATGGCTGTCCTGGAGAAGTAAAGACGGCCGGTGTTATTTTGACCACATTACCCATCCAGTGCCGATCGGTCTGTAAAAATATGGGACACTCTTCCCATATACCCGATGCCCCTAAGGCGTGAAAGGCATCTTTACTTTTTACTTTTACTTATTCACTTATACATCAGTTAGTCTTTATTTGAGACAATTAATCTAAATCTTTTTTATTTTATGACCATTTTTGTGTGACTTTCAGAATAAACAGATAAATTTTTTTTAAATTTAAAAATTGCATCACAATGCAAAACACTCACAAATTAATCCTTTCACTTTGAGAACACAAATACATTGTTTGGCTAACTCTAGTTTTTCAAAACAGGTTTATACAGATTCATTCTCCTAGCAAATGGAACAATATTAAAATGTCTATGTCGGCAACCACTTCAGTGGCAACATGTCTAATAAACACGGCCAGTTCTGCCGCCACCTAAATGACAATATGTCCAGAAAGCAGAAAGGGTTATCACTTAGATCTTGCACCTAGATTCTCTCTCCGCCCACCCGCCCTCCCTCTCATGGGACTATAAACCCATACAGGAATTACTTACTTACTAACTTACTTACTTACTTAGTCGCTCCTCTTCTACCTTGGGGTGTAGAGGTTTGCCAGAGAGATCGCCAGACGTCTCTATCAGCAGTTTTCTTTCTGGCTTTGTTCCATTCCAATCCTCTGTCAGTTAGGGATTGTCGGATGTTGTCTTCCCAGCGCACCCTGGGTCGTCCCGGAGGTCTGGTTCCCTGGTTCTTAGCCTCCCATGCTTGCCATGGTGGCCGATTTTCTCCCATTCTGCATACATGTCCAAACCATCGTAACTGTGACTGATCTACTCGGGTTAGTAAGGGCTGGGTATCAAGATCTTGACGTATTGTCTGATTGCGGACTTTGTCCCTTCTTGTCACTTGGACCACCTTTCTCAGGTATCTCATTTCCGAGGCCTGCAGCTGGCTTCTGTAAGCTGTTGTCATTGCCCACTCACAAATTAATCCTTTCACTTTGAGAACACAAATACATTGTTTCGCTAACTCTAGTTTTTCAAAACAGGTTTATACAGATTCATTCTCCTAGCAAATGGAACAATATTAAAATGTCTATGTCAGGAACCACTTCAGTGGCAACATGTCTAATAAACACGACCAGTTCTGCCGCCACCTAAATGACAATATGTCCAGAAAGCAGAAAGGGTTATCACTTAGATCTTGCACCTAGATTCTCTCCCCGCCCACCCGCCCTCCCTCCCATGGGACTATAAACCCATACAGGAATTCCTGTCTCAAAATATTACCTATTTTGGCTTCTGGTCAAAATGGACGTCAGGCAGCGGCACTGTTCGAAACAGAGGCACATTTTTTTTTACTTCTGCCGGACGGTGGCTGATGCATTTTTGCTCCATTTGTAGACTGGATATAGTTTCATCGCATAGCTTCTAAGTTGAATGCATGGCGTGACCCTGTGAGGTGCAGATTGCATTTGGAATGTTTTTTCGACTGTGACCAACATGTTGGTGTGAATTGTAGATTCAGAAAATGGCGCGATGCCTGTCGTGCAGTGTTGTGGTGCCCGTATGTGATTAAAATTGATCGTGTGGGCAACTGCTGATCTGTTGGCGACTTCTGCTACCATCAATGATGAACTGCAATTCTAATACTGTGATAAACATTCTGTGTGTTTTTCGTTGGCACAGGAGCGGAGCAAAGATGGGGTGACCCGTTTGCTATGAAGCTGAAACTAAGACTACCAGACCAGACTACCATTACCTATTTGGTAGGTAATTTTTTGTGGAATCCCCATTGTGCCTTGTCAATTTCCTAGAGATTCTCTTCTAATGCTGATGAAGGCCTTTACATAGCTCACAACAAAGTCATGAGTTCACTTCACTGCTCTGTTCTATTACTATTTGTAATGTGGGTTTTCTGGTCAATGCAGGATTTGTTAAACTGAACATCTACTAGTTCATCTCTAGTGTTGATGGCACCAGTCACTAAACTCTACAAAATATGTGCAGCAATTCAGTGGATGTGTTCACTGGCCTTAACAGCTTCTCCTGGGATATTATCTGGACCAGTAGCTTTCCCATCCTTCACGAGGCTGACAAATTTCCTAATTTTCTCTTTAGATGGTGTCTCACAGTTCAATAAACTTATTTTTGATAAATAAATACAGCAGTTTCTCTTTGTCATCATAATTAGAGATTTTACACGCCTTAAATATTATACTGCAAGTAGCTGAGCTAATTTTTTATTTTATTTTATTTTTTTCACAACTTTGGCAATTAAAATCAAATTCTTAAAATGTCAAAAACATAAGAGACACAAATTACCAGGCAGGGAAACAAACTGGTCGTCAATCTGCTGCTGTTGTGGGCTACTGTTGCCACTTCGAAGCTGTCTGGGTGATCTCACTGGTCCAGTTTCCCCTAGGTTACTGTGGCTGAGGTCGCTGGAGGAGCTGCAGGTGGCACTGGCTGTTTTAGCCTGCAGACAGTTAAGAAGTCAGAGCAAATAAGAAAGGAGAAATAGCTAACAACAATGTTCACAATTAGTTTCATTTAAATACTTTGATGAGGGTTAAGGAGGAGGAATAGGTCAAGCAGCAGAAGAAGAAAAAAAACAAGAAAAAGAAAAAGAAAAAAGAAGATCAAGCAGAAGAAGAAAAAGAAGATGAAGCAGAAGAAGAAGAAGAAGAAGCAGAGGAAGAAGAAGAAGCAGAGGAAGAAGAAGAAGCAAAAAAAGAAGAAGAAGAAGCAGAAGAAGAAGAAGAAGAAAAAGAAGATGAAGCAGAAGAAAAAGAAAACAAAGAAGAAGATGAAGCAGAAGAAGAAGAAGAAGAAGAAGAAGAAGCAGAAGAAGAAGAATAAGAAGCAGAAGACGACGATGATGAAGAAGAATATGACGCAGACAAAGAAGAAAAGAAACAAGAGCAAGAAGAAGATTGTTACACTAGATTCTTACACTGCCTTTAGTTCTCCTGGTAGCCTTCTCTTGCTCTCTCAGCCACTGTAGATATGATTCTCTAGCAACTTGTTCTTCAATGGTGTCTTGGGTTACCTCCCAGTCAGTCTCTCTCAATTTGTCTTCTAGCATAGTCTGGTCAGAAAAAAAAAATGTGAAAGATCAGGAAAAACAGCTAAAAAAAATTAATTTTTGTTTTCTTTCACAAGAGGCAACATAACCACAGTAAGAAAATCTAAAGCCATGGTAGCATAGTGGCCAGACACTCGCCTGGAGGCTTCAAAGTCTAGGGTCCATATCATAAAATATTTGTTTCCATTCTGATTTTGACTCCCAGGACAACCCAGCCTTAAATGGGCTACAGGTAATGACTGGAAAAGTAAAAGGGACTACAGTGAAGGTTGCCCACATAAGTCATTACATACTAAGTGCTGACTGGGCTACACAAATATGGGGCATGCAACATTTGCTTATTACACCTCAAGGCAGGGACATAGGATACTCAAGCGTTATGTAAAGACAGAAACTTCTGCTAGAGTTATAAAGTATTCATTCATTCATTCGTTGTTTTTTGTGCCACTATGCCACATAGGGCTCCCAGTTTATTTATCCCTTCCGTTCTCTCCATTGCAATCATTTGGATATCACAGATGGAACCCAGCCCAGCTGTTGGTTTCTCTCAACAACATTTACCTGAGGGTTTCTCTTGGACGCCCTTGTTTCCTCAATCCTTCTATATTATATTTCAGTGCCTGTCTGGTGATTATCTGTTTGTTTCTTCTCAGAAAGTGTTAAATATAGCTAGGCCATATAGTCCATTTTCATAGGGACAGTATCGTTTTTTAGGTAAGTTCCATCCGACATGACGGTCTGGCATACCTAAAAGATGATACTTACCTTGTCGAAATCGGAATGATATGGTTACCTTAAATACAGCACAATCTTTTCTGTCTTATAACAATTCATACTAGTATCATTCTATCTGAAACAGGTTTCCATTTTAGGAGACGTTTTGCAACACCAGGTGTCATCATAATGTCTACTCCTTCCAGTTTTTCTTTTCTCTTTGAGTTGTCAAGTATTAAGTATTCATATTTTCCAGACATGTACCATGGCACAATGATGTGAGGTGGCCAATTCCCTTGCTGGATGACTTTAGGTCCAAGAATATTCCACCTGAAACTGAAATACTGACTTTTGTTTCTAGTATGACACTGCCTAAAATGGGTTCAGGGAAATGTCCTGGCAAGTAAAAGTGACCAAGTGATGCTGACCACATCTCCCAAAGAGTGCTGAGTGGTCTATACTGCGGATTGCATCTTGAATGCTTTTTGACTGTACCCAACATGGTTTGTATTGTACCCAACATGGTTTGTATTGTACCCAACATGGTTTGTGTTGAAAACTGCAGACTAAAAAAAAAAATTCTGACAAAGAATTTCTAGGCAAGGATGTCAAACCTTCCAGCATTTTCTCTCTTGGTCTCCCTCTGCTTCTTATCCTCTTCAACTTTCCTAATGTCACGATGTACTCTAGTTTTCTCTTTCTCACAACATGATTAAAGAATGTAGTTTGTCTCCTTCCCATGCGAGCAATCAGTTATTTTTGTGGGTTGTTTTCTATCAAGAAATTTTTATCTGTCCGTGTTGTTCTCATTATTTGCATATAAAACCACATCTCCATCTCTTCCAAATAATTTTTTGCTAATCGCCCAACTTTCAATGTTTCACTTTTGCATAGCAAGACAGGATTTATATAGGTTTTGAGAATTCTCTTTCTCTGTTCGTACTAAAGTCTGCTTCCTGAAGGTATAACCCTGGAACTCGAAGACATAAATCCAACAAGGCATTTTCTTGCCACCTTGTTCAACACCCTAAGGCATCTGTAACGCCTGTTTGAATCCACAATAGGCAGATTGTCTTCCAGGTTGAACAAGCTTAAAATGGGTACCAATAAATGGACTGGAAAGTGTTATTGAGTGTTGCGTTTCGCAAAATCACCTTCATTTTTGTCCTAGGGATGCTGGTGTGAAAGGCAATGAGAGAGCAGAAGCTCTGGCTGGCAGCGCGACTATCAGGAAATGCCCTCTATGGACAGGAAAGACATCATCAGTGTCATACAAAAGATTAAACATTGTGATGCTTTCAGTTTCGTGAAAAATTATTTTTCACTGAAGAGACTGCATATCCAGGGTGCAGCTATTGGAGCCGCCAACATGGAAAACCAGGAGGGAGCCACTAGTTGTTACATCAACCAGAACAGAACGGTAGCTGTTAGCATAAAAACACTTGGAGACATACTCAGAAGGAGATCGGAGCACTTATGGTCATTTGCGATGAAGATGATATCAAAAATGAACATTAAGTGTTGATTGGTCTAAAAAAATGACTCTAGCATCATATGCACCCTAGGCCACTGGCGTGAAAAGAGTCCTTGACTTACCTGTCATGACCAAACCGAGTACTGCCCTGCTGTCCAAGGCAGGTAGAAGACTGACCATTAACCCTACCAGACCTGAGGCCCTGAACCTAACTGTCCCCTATACCTGAGCTCGTGGGCATTAACGCGAAAAAACCAACATGATATACAATAATATTAGTTACATGCAAACAAGAGGCTAGAAAAAGATGAAACTTGGAGAAATTGTAGAAAATAGGCTTACTTTTTATCTAGCGCCAATATTCCACCTTTGTGTGCCAATCCACTCGGGAGGATTAGGATTCTTTCACAAAGTGAGCACCAGATGTTGCTGTTTGAGGGTCATGCTCCCTTCTTTTACTATCGATCTATTTCTAGATTTATAATTTTCCAGATTCTCCTCATTATTCGAGCTGAATGTGTCACTTTAACTGTGAACGTACTCTTCATGAAATAATGACACCGCAGAGTCTGATTAAACCAAAGCATCGATCACCTGTTGGACTGTGAAAAGCCTAGACCTACTTTACTTTCCTGTCGAAGTGCTTGGCTCATCAGCCGCTCGTTGATTGTGAATTTTCAGAATTTGTTCATGTAAAACAACACACATTTAATCCAAACACATGCAGGCTGACATCTAGGAAGACTACCACGAGATCTGATTATGACTGGCTAGTTATTTTTAGTCTGTGACGCATCTTTTTCATGTACTACCCAAATAGCCAAAAAATTAGGGCCAGCAGTATAGCGTCAGGTTAAGAAATTCCCGGAAAATCGGGCCAGCGGTTTGGTAGGGTTAAACATGCGGTCACTTTCAAAATACTACCATGTTAGTTTAAAACTTACCAACATGTCTCTCTGTCTGCATAATGAGAGATTACACAGGAAAATTCTAGATTAGTGTGCACCTACAATCCTTGTGTGAATGTAAAGAAATATTTTCTTCTTCTTCTTCTCGTTCACCAGCTGTAAACTCTGGCGGAAAGTTCTGGTTGTTCATCCACTTCTGGGCGGCAGTCCTGTTCCAGAACCTGAGAGTTGCGTGTGCATCCGTTTGACAGATCTGACTCATTTGTATGCAGACTGCTGGTTCCTTGCCTCTCAGGCAGATGCACTCCAACTTCGAAGGAAGCTCCCAATTAGTCGACTCTTACGACATGCTTTTTGGGTAGGCAGTGGGTCTATTCTTGTTTTCCCTATAATAGGGCCCCGGAACCCACACAGGGAGTAAAGAAATATGTTTTCCACATACTTCTGCCTTCTATCCCCCAATGAAACATAGGCCCTCAACCAGCTCACGCTAAGTTATTCTATCCTGTGCTATTGCATGCAACTCACCCCATGTCCTACCCAAACATCACTCTCTAGCTGCCTTCTCCAGGTGTGTTTGGTCTGCTTTTATTTCTATGGTCGGCGTCTGTGGCTTAGGCACTGATAACGTGCTTTGTAATGCCGGGCTGGCGGGTTCGATCCCAGCTGCAAGCCTTGCGCTAGTTTCGAGAAGCCGAAAGCAATGGCAAACTACTTGACATTAATTTGCCTAGAAAAACAACAACAGCCAAAACATGCTGAGGTTGGTTCTGCCGTCCTGTAAAGGATAAGCAACTAACTTTATTTATATTCCCCTGTGGATTCTAGTGCAAAGACATTTTAGTTATATTGTTCTCAGGTCTTCCCAGTGGATTCTCACATTTTTAAATACAAATCACAGAAAAATGGACACACAGTCTCTACACATCACCATTTCTACTGACCTTTTCTATATGGAAGTTCTCCGAGCTTTTGATGGCTTCATGCATCAGGTTCCTCTCTGCCGACTGATGTAGAAAATAAGAAATAAACACGTTACCTCTTTTAAAAAAGGTGTTTAAAGAGAACAGTAACAACTTCAATGTCCCAGATTTCTTCTTCTATAGTCACTCTTAAAAGGTTTGTGTTGTGGTTGACAGCTAGGCTGTGACACCTGTGCCTTCAACCCAACACATCAAATTTGAACAAACTCCTAGTTAGTTGGGGAAGGGGGGGGGGGGGGGGGGGGGGGGGTTGAGTGAGAAGAGTGATCCTATCCTTGTCCTCAAAACAGGGTCAAGGAACTCACAAGCAGAAGGCTAGGTGTGATACCACTCTGCTCAGTCTCTCTCTGCAGAGTGGCTGCTTCCTGTAAGAATACACATAGGAAATAAAGAACGAATGTGGTAAAATTGACGGCAGTGTGGATTTATTACACCCAGTTTAGGTGAATTTTGTAAAGCACACCAACCTCTGTATCACAAATGATGGAAATCATATTGAAGATGTTATTTAATATTCCAACTGAACAAAATGTTGTTATTAAAGTTCATTTCTTGAAAATATTTTCCCATATTTTCCAAGAGCTTAGGGACATTTAAAGCAATGAGCTCTGTCATTTGAGCTGTTTCTAAAATCAAGCCTACAGCCCTCAGAGTATGAGGTAAATAGCTTGATCCCTTCACTGAGGCCAGCAAATGTTACATTACTCACAGAGAAGAGAAAGTAAATCTAATAACAGATTGAGGATGATAAAGATAATGTTATAACTTATGACACATAGAGATAAACAGAAAGATAATTTAATAACATTTAATATAGAGAGAAGAACAGACAGTTAATGTGATAATGTATAACACAGAAAGAAGAACAGGCAGATAATGTAATAACATATAATACAGAGAGAAGGACAGAAAGATAATGTAATAACATATAATACAGAAAGAAGAACAGAGAGATAATGTAAAAACATATAATACAGAGAGAAGAACAGACAGATAATGTAATAACATATAACACTGACAGAATAACAGAAAGATAATGTTAATGTAATAACATATAATACAGAGAGAAGGATAGAAGGACAATGTTATATAACATACAGAGGACAGAAATATAATGTAATAACATATAACAAAGAGAGATAAACGGAAAGAATATCTAACAATATATAATACAGAGAGAAGGATATAAAGATAATGTAATAATATAGAAAGAACAGAAAGGAAGTCTAACAACATATAACCCAAAGATAATGTAATAATATATAAGACTGTGAGAGAGCTTTTATTCAATGAACGGCGAATCTTTAACAACAAATGTATGAAATGTCCACCTACCCCTGGCTGTAAACCTGGCAGTCCTAGTCCTACGCCAATGGAAGCTGAATAAGGATCCACAATTGAATTGTAGTGCACATTGCCATGGTAACTCAAACGTATAGGTGGATTGTCTGTTTTGTAGGCTGTATCAAAGGTGTTCATTGGTTCTGGAAAACATGTGAATTTAGTTAATATTTCATCAACATCAAGATAATAACAAGTGATCAGTCAGGTACCAACTGGTAAGTACTGCACCACTGCATGCATGAAGACGCATGGAGAGAGCTGATATAATCACTGCTATACGGGCCTTATATACCTAGGAAGTAAGATGACATCTAAAGGGGATTAAGCGCCAGAAATATCATCTAGAATCACACTGGCATCGAGTGTCTTTAATACATTTCTTACGTGAAAGACATTCAGCAAACACACAAAACTTAAGATCTTCAACTTCTGTGTGATTCCAGTGCTAACTTATGGATGCGAGAGTTGGAAGGCAAAAGTAGATCTAGTGAAAGCAAAAAAATTAGACAATTTTAAGAACAAATGTCTTAGAAGAATACCAAATCTCGACTGGACAGATTTAAGATCCAATTTACAAATCAGACAAGAGACCAGGCAAGATAATGAATCAAATTTGATAAGAAAGTGCCGCTGGAACTATATCGGCCATGTACTCAAAAAGGATAAAACAGGATACCCACAACAAGCCCTCACATGGACACCAGAAAGGAAATGAAAATGGGGAAGCCAAACCTATTCCCTATGCGCTGCCCTAAGCTCAAGAGGAAAGACTAACTAATACAGGCTAAGCTGGCAGATAATGACAAAGCTCTTGACGTTAATATGATTACATGACCTCGGGGTGAAGCCTGGTGAAACATGTCAGTTCTTTCTGTGTGGCCAAGATAGGAGATATTGCAATGAACTCATGAAACAACCATTTGAGGTACCTTGGGGTGGTTGCTGCATCGAAGGCCTCAACAAATACTGGAATGCTTAAAGTGCAGTGACACATAATATAACAATCAATCAGGTGCCATCTTCACAAAGAAGATTGGCTGTGATGGATCTCCAACAGTCTCTTGTCCTAGTCTTTATTTTCTGAGACTGCTGCTCACTTATCTGTTGATGCTATCCTCCCAATTGTAACTCTTGCTTGCCTGTCTCCAACTTTTTCACTCCAAAATGATTGTTCCCAAGAGTGTCTTTTAATGTAACAGAACCATTCACTTGTCACCCCCCGCCCCCCACTCAGCTACTGCTTCTTATCTACTGGCCATAAACTCCGGTGGAAACTTCTGGTTTTCGTCCACTTCTGGACTTTGGTCTTGATCCAGAACTTGAATTTTGTGTTCATATCCATTTTACAGATCTGACGTATTTGTATGCATACTGATGTTTCCTCACCTCTCAAGCAGAATGACTCAACTTCAAAGAAAACGCCCCTAATTAGTAGGCTTTTCATAAAGGCCAGTGGTTCTATGCTTTTTTTTTTTAATCCCAAAAATTTGTCCTCAGAACACACACAGGAACTTCTTTCAGCAATACTCTTTTCGTTACCAATCTTCATTTGACAGTTTTTGTTTCAGTTAAATACTGATGACTCTTTTGTATACCATCATCTTCTGAGGCTCAATTCAACTTTATATGTGCCTGTTCATTGAACCGATTTCTGCAACATACAGTCAGTTGCGTATCCTTTACAGGATGGCAGAACCAACCCCATACATTTTTGGCTGTTGTAGTTTTTATAGGCAACTGCTTGGTACCACTGTCGAAATCAACTCAAGGTGGTCTGCTGTCAAATCCTGCACAGGTGGGTTTGAACCCGACACCCAAGTATTATAAATCGTGATCGTAATGTCATAGCCACATTTGGTTGAATATACATAACAGGTGACTACTCCCCCTGTTAATGTGTTGTTGATCTCTCTAGATGTCTATAATCTTCACATACTGTTGAAAATATAACTGATAATAACAAATAACAAATTTAAAAAAAAAAGGCAACAATGATACCAACACATAATGAAAGATACAAAAGGATAAATGGTTGACTGATGTAACGATGGCAGCAGTACCAAAGAGTTCAAGACAAGACTTAATATGGCAACAGCCTAAATGTCCCAGCTGAATATGATGTGGAAGAGCAAAATCAGCATTGCAGTCAAGATCAGTATATACAAATCACTGGTATTGTCTACTTTCTTAGATGGATGTGACAGCTGGATTCTAACCGTAAAAAAGGCCCTAAAGATTTAGGCTTTCAAATATAAATGCTATAGATTAGTTTTACGAATAAGTTATTCAGAATACAAAACTAATAAATATGTCACAGACAAAATAAACAAACTTCCAGGACATCAGGAGTCTCTCTTGGCAGTGGTGAAACATCACAAGCTAGTTTGGCTTGGGCACGTGGTGAAACATCACAAGCTAGCTTAGCTTGGGCACGTGGTGAGACATCGCAAGCTAGTTTGGATTGGGCACGTGGTGAAACATTGCAAGCTAGTTTGGATTGGGCACGTGGTGAAACATTGCAAGCTAGTTTGGATTGGGCACATGGTGAAACATCGCAAGCTAGCTTGGCTTGGGCATGTGGTGAAACATCGCAAGCTAGTTTGGCTTGGGCACGCGGTGAGACATTGCAAGCTAGCTTGGCTTGGGCACGTGGTGAAACATCACAAGCTAGCTTGGCCACGTGGTGAAACATCGCAAGCTAGCTTGGCTTGGGCACGTGGTGAAACATCGCAAGCTAGCTAAGCTTGGGCATGTGGTGAAACATCGTAAGCTAGCTTAGCTTGGGCACGTGGTGAAACATCGCAACCTAGCTTAGCTTGGGCATGTGGTGAAACATCGCAAGCTAGCTTAGCTTGGGCACGTGGTGAAACATGATTCAATTGCAAAGACAATGAACCTGGAAGGTAGTCAAAGAAGAGAACCACAAAGAAGAACTTGGAATAACAACATCAAGAAACGGACAGGACTAAGTTATCATACACTTGTTCAATAAACGGAAGACAGGGAAAGATGGCAGATTTTGTGTGCTAGTGCTTTCACTGATACACCTCCATGATCCTATCGAGTCAAGGGTTATGTTATGTTATGGTTGATGTATGATCTATGGAAATAAAATGCTAAGACAGAATTACTAATGCAGAACTTAAGAAAAAGTCTAAGTAAATTTCAATGAATCCACTCGGACTGGATAGAACACACACATTGATAAAATATGACTGTACGTTCTTTCACTCAAATCCACAAGGTGACAGAGAGGAGTAGAGAGAGAATAAGAGAAAGAAAAAAAAAAAGAGAGAGAGTGATTGGGGAGGGCTGACAGAGAGAAAATAATTAAGAGGAAAAAGAAGAAAGATACAGAGCGAGAGAGAGGAGGGGCAGTGCCTAGAATTCACATGGGGAACTTCAAGGATAAGCAAGATATGAACAGATACCTAAACTGTATTGATAGACTTCAACAGGCCTGTTGAACAGCTCAGTCATTGCCTGAATCTCCAGGTGGTTGCCATGGCAGGAATCCATACGTTTACGGTTGATATACATGGTGAAATCCTCGGTCACGTATTGGGAATAGAAATCTGCATTCTTGGACTGAAACATTGAAAAACACACGTGAGTAAATGCTATTTCTATAATTTTCCTGAAATACCGAAAACACCTATTTGTAAATTAATCTTGTTTCTCTAGAGGGACTTGAATATTCTTCACTGTGTTTGCCCTTGAAAGGATGGTTGCCGTAATGTGGCTTATAGTTAGCATGTGATATCTGCGTCTGCGCCCCTAAATCAGGGACTCAGAAACCACCCAGGGAACCAAAAAATTAAAAAAACATCCATATGCAAATGAGTGTGACATCTTCTTCTTCTTCGCGTTCACTAGCTGTAAACTCTGGCGGAGGTTCTGGCTGCTCGTCCACTACTGAACTGCAGTCCTGCTCCAGAAGCTGAGTGTTGCATGTGCATCAGTTTTACAGATCTCATTCTCTTGAATACAGACTGTTCGTTCCTTGCCTCTCCGGCAGATGCACTCCGACTTCAAAGGAAGCTCCCCAATTAGTCTACTCTTACGACATGCTTTTGGGGAGGCAGTGGGTCTATTCTTGTTTTTCCCACAATGAGGCCCCGGAACCCACACGGGGGGGGGGGGGGGGGGGGAAATCTATTTTAAATCAACTCACTTGAAAGCACCCCAGTATCAGCAAATGTTACAAGACTTTATATGACAACTAATACATATAATGACCCAGCCTAAAATTGGTATCAGGTTATATGTCCTGGGAAAGTAAAGACAGCTGGCGCAATGCTGACCACATTACCCACCTAGTGCCGACTGATCTGTAAAAAATATGGGTGCTCTTCCCATTTGCCCGATGCCTAAAGGCGTGAAAAGGGATTTTTACTTAATTTTACTTACTTTTACATGTAACCAAACTGACACTTATGTACAACAACAAGGAGACAAACAGTATGTAGCACCATGTAATCCAGACAATGCTTCCTCACAACTCCATGCATCTCTTGATCCCCATAAACTTGGTCCGCTGTCAGAGAAGACACAAATACATACATGTTTTACTAATACTTAAATATACAAGATATAACAGATTCAAAGCACATGTACATAAAGTACCATAAAGACTACAGCAATGTGTACTTGTGGACAAGCACAGCAAACTGCTGAGCATATACAACACTACCCCAAACACCACCCTGCATACAGGAGCCAGAAATGGGTAGAAAGTATTCAGAAGTCCCACTTAACTTTCATTACCTGGATGCCAGAGTAAAAAGTAAGGAAGGAGCAGATCAACTGGCAACTAATGCATAAATGCATATGGAAAGCAGCATTGACAGGGCTGATATCATCAACACTGTACGAGCTAGATTGGTGGATAATGACAAAAGTCTGATGCTTACATTATTCTGCGACCTGGGAGTGAAGCTTGATGAAGCATGTCTATCCAATCTTTAGGGTGAAGAATGGAAACAACTTCTCATGGGAAAAATCAGCATGGGTACACACCTTTGAGTAGCAGCTGCACTGGATAACTAGGACGTACAGTGACATCAGTTGTGTTAACATAAGATAATGGCACCCTTAGGAAAGGCAAATAATAGTATTACTGCACTCAACCAGGCAGGTTGTAAGAGGTGACTACAGGCAAAGTTGGGCCTAGCTACCTTATCGAACTAAAATAAGTTTAGCTGTAAAAGCCTACCAACTACACAAAATTCTAACAATGAAAGAAACAAACAGCAACCCAAAAACAAACAAAAAAGTAGCCAATCAAGCTGCGATGAAGAAAGTGAAAAAGTGGTAAAGCTCAAACCAATTAACTTCTGAGCTAAAAAAAACCTGTCGGTTAGTTGGATGTTAGTCTCCCCAAACCCCATCCATATACTCACTAGCTCACTTCTGATCGGTAGTTCCTGAGCCTCGTGACCTTTGCACACGGTTACGGGGTTGTTCCGCAATGCTGTTGATATCGCGTGTTGTATACTTCAGCACACCAGCGCTTTTAACACTCCAAAAACATGGAGAAACTGGGTTTAACACAACTCCCCTACAGAGTGCTGCAACCTATGTCACAAGCATTCTCTTTTTCAGAATGAAAATGTAAATGCAAGACATCGCAGAAACCAAACAACAGAGCTGGACACACCCGTAACCTTCAGGAAAGTCGACCAGCCCACTAAACTTGTGAATGAAAAGCGATAGACTCCATTTGGGGAGACTAATGTCGAACTAACCAAACTGACTTTACTGAATGTATTTTAACTTTGTAGGTCAATGTAGGTCAGGTGAGTCTTGAGCCTAAGGATTTACGTCACCTGGTGAATGCAGTTGTTATCAAAATTTGAATTTTCAGTTTCGCCCTCAACAGAAGAAATCACCATCATCTTAATAAAGATTCAACCATGTGTCTCCCATCTGACAATACAGCATACTTAACCCCTCAGCCAGACATTCCCATTTAACATTTGAAAAATGCATCCTGGCTGTGAAAATCATTACCAATCATGGATAAACTAGCTGTACAGTTGAAATTGTAACCATTTCAAAAACAACCAGTAAAAACTCCATCCACAGCTGAGTTATGTGCTTAACCCTTTTAATACCAAGCAGATGTGACTTTGACTCTTTCTAAGAAGTTGCTACTTTAAGTAATTTTTTTTAAGCTGGTTCTGGAGTGTTACAATAATAACACCCCTGGGTGGAAGGAGTTAAAGTAACAACTGACACATCATAAGCAATGCAGAAAAGTAACTCACAATAGCTGAAACCAACAAAAGAATGGCATGTCGCTTGGTACTGAATTAGTAATAATTGCCAAATTCAGCCATTCCTACTCACAAAAAGTCTTGAAAAGATGTAGCTATTACACTGTTGAAAAATGTGAATGGACATAAAGGATAAACCCATCCAAAGCTAAATAAACTATTCACTCAACATATTTAACCAGTCCAACAACTTAGTGACGCACAAGAATAAATCAGAACATGCATGTCCATGTAAAGACTAGGATGAAACCAGTCATACAGTTAATTAAACAGTAACAGACGAGACGGTCTGGCCATCTTACGAGAATGCCCTGGTATCAAACAGCCACAATGAGAACATACAATTAACACACAGCAAGGGGTAGACCATGCAAAGAAAGGAACAAAGGTAAAAAGAACAGCCTTAAAGAAATGAAGATCAGTTTAATGTATTAGAAAGAACAAACAAAAGATCCTCACATCTCTCCCCCCCCCCCCCCCCCCCCCCCCAACATTTCAATCAGCAACTAGAAGATGAGAAAAAGAAAGAAGATAAAAATGTACACAGTCATAAAGGATAAATCCATCCACTGGTGATCTAATCAGTCATTATTACATACCCACAGCCCTGAAAAGACAGGCACCATCTTCACCCATCTTCTTTATTACGAATCCTTTCTTCTCCTTCAGAGCTTGCTCAAACCACTGCTCCAGCTGCAATGTGTGCAAAGGGAAAACAAAATCATCTATAGAACAACCATTATCGTGAGTTGTCTGCTACTGAAACAGTGAACTGATCTTGCATCAAATTTCTGTGGAGATCTGGAAAGCAATCTTCTTATCTAGTTATGTATTGCCTTTCAGCGTCAGGTTTTGAATAGGCATCAAATGAGAGCCTAGGTATATGTTACGCAGGTGCTCATATTTATGGCCTCAGTTGTTAATAACACGGAAGCAGATCCAGAGGTTGACCATGCAAACTAGGCACCTTACTAGGGGGCCAGACCAAAACATATACAGCACTGATGCTTTCTTCAAAGTCAGAGTAGGTGTGCATGGGATGTATGGGATGTAGGTTTTGAAGAGGCATCAGGTGAGAGCCTCGGTATGTACTACGTAGGTGCTCGTATTTGTGCTCGTATTTATTGCCTCAGATATTCAAACTAGCCACTGTTTGCATGCTCAACCTCTGGATTTGCTTCCATTATGTCTAAGTGATAGGACTTTCTGTGGTGCAATGTATGATGGTAGTCTGAACAAATGTCCAAACCATTTGATCTGTTGTCTCTTGATGTAGTGTAATACCGATTCCATCCCCAACTTCTTTCCTGATATCGTCGTTTCTCATTCTGCCATTTCTAGTTACATTTTGGATTCGCCACAGAGCAGACATTTCAGTTCAGTTGTTGGAAAGCAATGTCACCTATAAAGTCTATATCTTCAAACTCTAATGTTAGCAGTCCACTGAATTTCATGTCTAATGGCAAATTTTGTTTTCTTCATAATAAAGTGTTAAGGCAATAAGAGTGGAACTTAGTTAAAAACCAACTTCACAACACACCGGACATAAGCACTCCATCCCCATCTTCAGCAACCAGCAAGAGTTCCAGTTTCAGAAGTGCCTTCAGCAGTATGACTGTTATGTCCATTTTGCTTTTCCTCCACATATTGAGTGTCAGCTAGATTTCCCTTGTCACTCACCAATGCACCGATATCTGCAGACCATAATCATCTACTTGTGTCTCTGAATTGCTCTCTTGCTCGTTAAGGGTCCTAATTAATCTAGTTTGTCATCAATTCACCACGCTGTTCTACGTGTTCATCTCCCAAAACACCTGCATCTCCTAGAGAATACATAAAAGTCACCAACTACTAGGGTCCTTTGAAGCAATGCTTGCCACAGACACAGCACTGGGCATACCAGTCTACATATATTCAAAGGCTGAAAATGGCATCAAGCTCAAAGAGTCAACTGCATTTAAATTACTCTGATAGCTACTGTCATTTTCATAATCCAGTATTTAACCAACAAGAATGGGATGTAGGGGTGCATTAGTCATCTGCAGAAGTACATTAGGCTAAGACCCATCTATACCAGTGGTTCTCAATGAGCAAAGACCTGCGTATGCATCCTAGTTATTAAGGTCTGCCACAGACCCATAGTGTTAATTAGCCATACTGAAAAACATTATAATTTATAAAATTATAACTGCAAAAACGACTTAATTCTAATAACATAATTGTTTTTTGAAAATGATATCACAGATCCCCTGAATCTATTCCACAAATCCCCAGGGGTATACGGCCCAGACAGGAAACCACATCACTTCACTGTCACCCTAGAAATGGGTTCCTTACTAGGGGCCTGACCAAAACATATACATGATTGACGCTTTTTTCAAAGTCAGAGTAGGTGTGCCTGGGATGAATATTACTTTCAGCAAAGCAATAGTGGTTAGAAAAAAAAAATCCTACCATCACTAGGGTCTGAACCCATACTGCTGTCATACAAGGCAAGTGCTCTAATCACTATATTACTGCAACTTCATATCAGCTTGCTTTTACTTCCCAAAGCACTTCCTGATATCCATTCTAGGATGGGTCAATCTAAAAAACCATCCAATGAAACACTACCAGTCTCAATGGGGATTCAAACATACACCCATGGGCACAAAGGCAAGCACGCTAACAGTTGTTATAGCTACCAAAGTACAGATGAACAGGGGTTCTGATGGTTTTCATATACCAGTTACATCTAACCAGCAACCAAGTTTTTCTAGAGAAAGCTGAACTGACTGCTCAGGAAAAAGACTCACAGGTACACACCTGGATAGTCTAATCATTTAACAAAATCTTATTCTTCTTACTGTTCACTGGCTGTAAACTCTAGCAGAAAGTTCTGGCTGTCTGTCCACTTCTGAATTTAAGTCTTGTACCAGAACTTGAATGTTTCAAGCATGTCCGCTTTACAGATCTGCTTGCTTGTATATACTGGTTTCTCACCTCTCAGACAGATGCAGTTCTACTTTGGAGGAAAGTGCCTAAACAGTCATCTTTTACAGTAGGCTTATTATGGAGGCAGTGCATCTATTCTTGTTCTCTCCATAAAATTGGGCCCAGAAATCCACATGGAGAATAACATAACCAACATAATACAGTCCTAATTCTGGGCTCTGTGCATCTTGTGAGATCATCATCATCCTTGAATTCATTCCACTTCCTTAGACATTTGTTATTGAAAGAAATCAACTTTCATTCTTGTCCTTAGTAGTTCTCAAACTTTCACTGGCATAGGTTAAAACTGAAATAACATAGAACTGAAAATATGCAGCCTAACTGTAACCCTTTAACGTCTTTTTCTTTATGTTCATTGCCTGCAAACTCTGGCGGAAAGTTCTGAATGTTCATCCACAGGAATAAATCTACATAACTCACAGATCCATATTTTATTCACGCTTGTAAAAGTTGCTTTGTTGTGGTAATGAAATATTGTAAGATGGTTTAACCATTTTGTTTTCTATTTCTATTCTAGGACTGCAAGGTGAAAGTTTGAAATCCGGCCACTCAAAGAGCTATATTTCAGATGCCCCCCAGAAACATATTCCAAAAAACCTCGTGTGAATCACATAACACAATTATGTTTGGACAGCCTGCAGTGACATCCCATATTACCTTGGTGCAGTCTACTCTCCTGTACGGGTAGTAAACTTACTTGCTATATAGTATCATTTGACATTATGGATGGTCTGAGATTACTTTCACTGACTATCAGTTATTCGTCCACTCCTAGACTTTAGTTTTGCAAAAGTTCTCGAACAAGAGACTACAGATACAATGGATCAACATCATGGCACAAGGGTAGTAACCCATAAGTTCTCCGTTCTACTTCTAACTCAAGCCTGAGCCTGAAGAATCTCAGTGCAGTGTGCAAACTCAGCAGCACCGCAGAGGATCCTGAAATACTTTGGGTAGATTTTTCTTCAAAATTTTGCCCGGACAGAGCCGTTAAAATTCTCTTTTCGATTTCCAACTGCCAAGGGATTTTTTACGTGCGCAACAATAACCATCCGATCTTACTAAACAGAGACCCGTGAAAATTACTAGAAGTCCTCATGAAAAAATCCCTGCCTTCACCGGGGCCTGAACCCATGCTACAGTCTGGTAGTAAGTGAACAACTGAAACCTGTGAACTTGAAGAAGGAATCATAGAAAATAAGTGCTAACATACCTCTGTAATATTCTCCGGAACATCTGGTGGTTGACTGTGCTCCTCTTCACTATTGTACTCCTCTCCGCATTCATCGACGCTGCCACTAAGTGGAGCAATATTATTGGAGTTGCCAGTGACATTGCCTGCACTGGGGATCACACTGGAAGTATGGCTACGATGTTTCCTAGCTGTTCTATGCGGGGACGATCGATGACGTCTTTTATGGTTAGAAGAAGTTTCATGACCATCAAATTCATAAGATGCATTAGCAGACAGGTTTTGTGTCAATGTTGGATGAGAATGGGCAAGTTCATCCCTGGCCGAAGTGGTTGGAATCCACCTTGTGGGCGACGACGTCCGTACACGATTTCCTTTCTCTAGTCTATTCTCAGGGTTGCTGCTGTGGTGATACAGGCCGTGAGCATGTTGATGGGTCAGCCCATGTCCATGTTGGTGGGAATGTCCAACTGCTGTATGAGTATCTGGAGTTTCCGAATCATTTTTCTCTTTAGTAACCTTCTTCTTTGGCTTGATGGTCATTTCTCAACAAGCCTCCAAAAGGAGTCAAGAACCAATTCCAAACTTAGTCACCTTGTTAGCAGAGTTAGCTGATCAAAAAAAATACCGGTGACAATCCAACTCCGCCTTCAAGAAATTAACTGCTTATATTCCGTGGACAATTCAGAAGATATAAGACTGAAGTAGGTGAACTATCTGACATGAGAGAGGGGGATTTAAACGTAAAAATTGAGATGAATTCTCACAAGTTTATGGCGTCCAGACCGTGACGTAAATTTTCTATTTACATCGCCAGCGCCATCACAAGGGCAGTCCACTCTCTCCTCCTCCTTCCTGAATACGAAGACGGTGATGCATCTAAAATCTTATAATCTGTTGTAATTAAATCATAAGTTTCACAGTGTCAATATCTAAAAGTAAAATACGATAATAAATTCTAATTTAAGAAAAGATTAAGAAAAAAATTATATGGTCATTTGTTCTATAGGCAATTGATAACTCAAAATATACGCAGTTTGTAGACTTGACGCAACAGCTGATTCACAAAGCTCTTCTGTAAAACAATCTGTCCTGCAGTAGATTCCTGGCTAATGGCAAGAAAGGCAATGAGATAAAGAACACATTGACCAGAAGCGGCAGTCAGATGGTGACTAACTCATTCGTAAACATGAGTATACAGCTAACATAGAGGTCATTTGGCCTGTTTCGATCTAAATCAAAACAAAGCTCCCCGGCAGCGGACAGATTTGGTTTGATACCTCTTATCAAAGCGACTGGCTTCTTGAAATAACGTTTTCTGACAGAAGGATGGGATAAGATCACTGTCTGCTGTTCCGATAAGCGTAGGCTGTGATGTTTCGCCATCCTACACGGATCCATAATCACGGATCAAGTCAGCGCTCTTGTCTTATATTATACATATGGCCATAGAGATGGGTTGGGCCCAAAGACAGTGGTTGGTGTCTCTAAAGCGGTCAGGGCTGACACATATCAGTTTCATAATTGTGCCAAGGGACGCATGTGTTCACGGAAATGAGCAAGCTTTTTAAAATTTTAATTCTTTTCTTTTCTTTCATTTCGAATTATTACTTTATTAAATCTCTTATCAGTATCATTTATGTATCATTAACATTTTTACTTCTTTTATTCCTACTATTGTATTATATATTAACAATATTACTTTTTATTTTTGACGACCATATATTTTTTAGCCGTCGTTTATTTTTTTTTCATTTACTCCACTTTAAAACATTGCTCACGTCACCCCTTAAAGATCCTAATACTCTTTTCTTTGTTACATTTGTGTAGTTCACTCCATGTTTGACAAAGGCAAACGTTATTTGTGTTGTTTTCTGCAAGTTCTTCAGCTTCACCGTTTTCGTTAAGCATTTTATTCACATTTTACTGGAATCCGTTGCATAACACAACAATAACAATTAAGGGGGAAGAATCGAAATTATTTGGTTCAGTGCTTGATGGAAATTAATAGTCTCCCTTCAATTGCTTTCGTTGAAAGCAGTGACGGAACTATTTACGTGTCTTGAAGTAGGTCACGCATATGTCAATATATCAGTTAATTAGGTGCCGTCTGCACAGTTAAGGTTGGCTGTTACGGATCATCAACATACATTGTCCCTCGTCTTTATTGTACTCTCTCATTCCCCGTGGGTTCCGGGGTCGCTAGAAGGATGCGGGAGGGTGAGGGGGTTGCCTAACAAGCAAGTCGTTAAAAATATCGATGTGCATGCTAAATTTAAATTCTCGAACAAGACAAAACTCCGGAATTGACGATTGACATGCGCACGCACGCTTCATTGTTATTGTCATCCTTACGTCTTTTTTAGGACCTAATTTTTTGTTATTTGAAGCCCCACTCTGGCTTTTGCCAGGGGCCGCAATTTATCAGGCCATAAATATGGCCAACTGTCTGAACGCGGTTTCTGGGACCTCTCCACGGTGATCCTCACCCACATGGTGGCACTTTGTGTCATCGGGTGTTTATCGCTTGTGTGATGTCCTGGTGGGGTAGAAAGTCAGCTCAGCTCAGCTCACGCACGCACACACAGACACACACACACGCACACACACACACACACATACTGACTGTGAAATGAGTTCATTCAGATAGTATGTATACGATTGAGACAAAGTAATCATAAACGACATAATAATATAGAATATGTGATTCCCACCTGGACCGCTTTGTATTTTTATTTCGATTTTTGTGAAAAAGAATTTGTTGTTGCCAATGTTTTGTATATCTCTACATATTGAGTATTATAACATGCATATTGGTTTTCTTGGTGTTACTGTGCACTTTTACGTTCAGTAGTTTGCCATTGCTAACTGGACAATCGTCTGTCGAGGCGACTGTGTTGACGTGGCTTATAAATTAGTAACTATGTTTAACAATTGCATGGTTCCCGCATTACAAGGTCGACTTTAACAACGGTGTAAAAAAAAAAACTGTTCTCATGGTTTACTGGTGGCTATACGCGTCATGTGGGTCGCCCCAGTCCTTACGGAAGAAAATAGGGACTTTGAGCTGAAATTCTATACATAGATTATTTGAATACCAAGGACAACGAATACAAGAAATGCCGACATTCTAAAATATCTGAACATCAAGGAAAATTGGATGATAAACAGCATCTTGGTTCAGAAGCTGAAATATTTTGGCTTTTTCAAGCGCGCATGGCGAATTGGGAAAAGTAATACAGAAGGCTTTGTATAAGAAAGCAGGAGCAGGGGTCGAAAACACGAAAATGGGAAGATTATTTAAGTGACTCATTGGATACGAAAGTGCACGAGGCGGGCGAGCTGCCGAGAGACCGATTTTCTTTCAACCCGACCGTGATGTGAGAGAGAGAGAGAGAGCAACGTTCTGCAAAGGACGTGCTACACGATTATGATACGAGAGTCGCACAGTGAAAGAGATTTGGGCCTCACTAGGTAATATTCCCAAAGACAGTGGATGCACTGGAGTAAAACTTCCTTGTGGAGATGGCACAAATGTTTTGTGTGTGCTGAAGCGTGTTGTTAATTGTGTGTCTTTTACAGGACGTTGCAGAAGCAACACCAGCATTTGTTGTTGTTGCTGGTGTTAGTGATTTCACTAGTCAGTTTTACCTTCAGCAGTTTGCTATTGTGAGGACAGTAACTGCTAACACCAAGAATGGAATTCATTGGGCCCCTACAAAACAGCTTGACGATCTGGACATCTTCTTCAGCATTCTGAGCCATTGAGGTTCATTGATGCAGATATCACCCGCTTCCATTCGTCTCTCTGGTTGGCCTTCTCCTTCCAGTTGGTGACACTGAGTGTTTGCAGGTCTTTCTGGACATTATCTTTCCATATTCTTCTTGGTTTGCCTCGTGGTCTGCGACCATTCATCTGCCTTGTGTATATCGTTTTTACTTCTCTGTCATCTGGCATTCTTTAATTATGCTCCAACCATTTCAGTCTGGACTTCGCTGATATTATTTCACCTCTGTCCCAATCACAGAATCATATGCAAGATAAATGCATTATATTTGATGCGAGATCACGACAGCAAGATTTCAAAATCCACGAGGGAAGGACAAAGATATTAGGAGTAAATTAAGTAAATAATAATGTAGTTTATCTCAATGGGATCCAACTCCAAGACTTTGAGTCATACATCTATGTGGGCAATAATGTAGATAAAGATGGGGGAACTGACAGCGATTTTAAAATACGAATACAAAATTCAAGAGGAACTTTCATAGCGTTAGGGAATTTGTGGAGGTCAAAAGAAATTAAAACTAAAATATCTAATGTAGAGGTATTGGAGAGAACAAAACAAGTTTTTGTGGACCAAGAGGTGCAGAAAATACTCTGGTGTTGGACAGCACACGCGTTGAACAAATATGATAATAGTATAACTAGAATGTCTTTGCACTGAAACCCAAAGGAACATAGAAATAGAGGCAGACCAAAACACAAGGAGAACGGAGCTAGAGAGTGTTGGTAAAATGATGCAGAGGACATGGGAAGAGCCGCATGCGATAGCGAAGGATAGAACGACTTGGCATGAGTTGGTTGAGGGCCTATGCTCCATTGGGGGTTAGAAAGGCAGAAGAAGAAGTTTGCCACTGCTTCTGCAAGGTCGGCTTTGATATGACTTTTGAACACAACACAAGGCAGTCTGCTTACAAATCACCCGCAGCTGGAATCGAACCATGCATCTCAGAGTAACAAAGCTTGTTCGCAACGCCGAAGCCAAAAACGTCAACACTGAAGTGTATTTGCATTGTTCTTTTTTGTTCAAGTACCGCGTGACCAGCCTTCAACCCCTTGACCTTCCATAATCTCTGCTATGGAATTATCTTAATGAGTCGTCTGCCTGTAGGCGACACACTGCCCTGCACCGAATTCCCTTACTGCAGTATCAAAGAAATTCACAAGTTTATTGGTAACTGACCTCCGTATCATTCCGCCTTATTGAAATCCGAAGGCACAAAAGCAATAAATACTCCAAAGACAGAGTTTGTTAACCTGGACGTAAAAAAAAAAAAAAACTTTGGGAATTTATTACTGTAATTTCGATTCCTACAGTACGTGGTATTAGGGCAGTCAGACCACACGGAAAGACCACGATTTGGAGGGAGACTAGGAGCGGGTGTTGGAGCCGGTATTTGACAGCATATTAAGTGTCTTTTTGAAACCAAGCAGGGCCTTTAATGCCAACGGATCGCTGACATTTGTTGACTTTGCAGCTGTCTGCAAGCAGGGGCAGACTGTTGTTTCCAAGGCGTAATCTTTATGAAGTCACTAGTGCAAGGATCTTCGGCCCGTGCGGTATAGGGGCCTAACCGTGTAAGTTCCGGGGTCCATTTTCTCGAAGAGGCTGAAGAATAAGGCTCCCCACGCCCCTGCGCCCCACATCCTGGCAATTAACATATTGTAGAAGGTGACTAATTAAGGTTTGCTGGTCCGAAGGTGTAGATATCGCTGCGTAGCTGTAAACAGCAACACACTAATAGTTAGTTTGTCATGC